TGTTTTGTTTGGTAGCATTTTGTTCCCCCTGTGGCTGGATGTCTATTGGAGAGGGACTGTGATCTGATTGGGCAGCTGTACTACAAGGACTGCCATAACCTGGACCAGTGGCGAAAGGGCTGGTTTGCTCTAGACAAGTCAAGCCTGCATTTTTGTCTTGAAATGGAGAATGCTCAAGAAGATTCGATATATTTAAGGAGGCTGCAAGAACTAAGTAAGAATTTCAGTTAACAGCTAGAATTCTGGAAATACTCGATAGGATTAATTCACTGTTGTCATAATTTCTATTGCATTTTAAAATCATGAACATTAGGGCGCTCAGTAAACATTCCTTCGCTTGAACCAGATGCTGTCCCAACTCTCTTCTAACCATGGAGTGGGTAAAAGGTCTGCCTTTTTTCCCCCTACTTGATAGGCTGTGTCGGAGACATTTTCACTGCTTCATAATAAATGAGGACAATTTTTATTCCAGTTGCAGCAATATCTTTCTTACAAGAGTACAGAGTTGTATAATAATAGATGACCTTTTGGGACTATTGTCTCATCTTTTTGACAGTGCAGAAGTGCTCACTGCAGAATGTATTCTTGAGATGATTGACAGGCCTTGTTTTAAAATACTCAAACGTACTGGAAAAATTATGATTCTCTTTGAAGACTATTTCACAGACTAATAGACTTTTCTTTTTTCTGATGCTAAAAATCTTCTTTGCTCAATTTCATGATGTAGAAAAGTTAAAAGTATTTAGATGAATGGTCTTCCATGACCATTTTTATATCAATGTCTGTAATTATGCTTTGAGCTCTTTTTAAGCATGTCTGCCTTAGTTGTTATGTTGAGCAAGACAATATGCTATGTAGGAAAGTGAAAATACTTTGAGATTTTATACAAAGTAGTGTAGATAAAATAATTTAGCACTCTACTGATGATCGTCTTTGTAGATACTGTTGCATTTCAGACTGATTTGCAGGAACTTGCCTAATGCCAGTGGGCTTTCTGTGGTTTATTTACTGCCACCTAATTTTTGCTGTGAATAACAATGTGAAAGTACTTTTTGCTCAGGAATACTCTTGTGCCTCCACCTGTCATTTAAATGCGAATACTTTCTGATCTTGCTTCAGAATTAAAAGGTCAGGGAGTGTGAGAACTGCTTTCCATACTTTGGTGATGCAACTGTAATTGCTTTTACCTTAAACATATGAATATTCAAAATCCGTTTTTATCTCAAGTATAGAAAGTAAGCTTGCATTTAGCTTTTGTTGAAAATCATCTTTGCTCAGATTTTGATTACTAAGTATTAGTAGTATAATAGAGTGGTATTTCTTGGAAATGTGTCCATACACCTATCCTTCCGCTGATTTCTGTTTTCTCCCAAATCAGACTTCTTCACTATTAAGAAGATTGAATTGTATACTTGAAGTGTACCGAATAATGAATTATCGGTGGAAGCACAGGCACTTCCCTTTGTGATATTGAGTCAGTGAATGTAAATGAGCCCAAGAGTAAATGTGATACAAAAGCATCATGTGATACATTTATTGAGCATCGTTGATATTCAGGAATTTGTTTTCTCTAGAGATTAGATGAGATCAGATGAGGATGATCTATGAAATCTGAACTTTGAAAGGATTAAAATTAGGAATTAGTAAGAAGATTACATGTGATTTACCTTTTCTTATTATTATTATTATAGTGCACAGTATGGTTTTACAAGCACCGTTACCCAAAACTACCTAGAAGTGTTATCTTATTATTATATATAATGTAGGTATTTTCCAGGGAAGAGTTTTTGGTGTTTTATTCCTGTTCAAAAACAAATAAAAACTATAAATCAACGTAAAGAAGGCTGACAGTGATCTTCACACTGTACTTGACAATTTTCTCCAAGATTCAGTATTGCAAATATCCACAGTCATTAAGATGCAAGTAAATTAATGGATTCAAGAATCCAGGTTACTTCTGAACTGTTATGTCCCACAAAATTTGTGTTTACACATTTAATGTAATACACGCTGCAGCATATTTTCCATTAAAAAGTATTTGTTTAATGTTTCTTTATTGTTCTCTGGTGTTAGTTTTTCTTGTAAATTTTAGTTGATTTTATTATGGTGTTTTGTTTTGATAAACGTGGAGCTTTGTTTCTATTATCAAGCACCATTCTATAATTTAAATGCTCTTAAGAATTTCATGCTGCTTCCGTCACTGAAGATCACTTTGAAAAAATGTGTTTATATGTATATGCTTCTATGTGTTTATATATGTGTATACATGTGTAATATGAATGTGTGTGTGCTTTGTTTTAGCAATCAGCAGTGTGACGCAAAATGGAGAAAAAATAGATGTCCTGCTGCTTGTTGAAAAAGGAAGGTAAGGTCCCCATTTGAATAAAGCTTTATGATCTGTTCATATATTGGTGTCTTAGAATTCTTGCTGATCAGGCATGGGGCTTTTTCACTTGCGGTTGCTAGAGAGACAGTAAATTTACAGACTTTTTAAAGGAGGAAAGGCTTTGTGTATTAATTACGTTTTATGTCTGTATCGGGAAATGCTAACAAGCACTGCTTAATTAAATGCGCTTTCCCCACTGAGAAAATTATTCCCAGTCAGATTAGTCTGCCAATAATTGTTTCTTCAAAAGGACCTAACTTCCTTTAGCCTGTAAAGAAGAAAAGTATTTCTGTGGAGCATTTATCACTTACTTCTCAGTTTCTACCACTCTTATGTCCCAGAATTCTCTATGTAAATCTGTGTAGTTAGGACTTGAGATGGTATGCATTATTCGCTTGATTAGTCTTATTGTAATGTCTAATTTCAGTTAGCAGCATACTAGAAAAAAATACGCTTGTGAAGCAAGAATAATCCATATCTGCTTCAGTGTGCTGCTGTCATGGCTCTGTCACATGCAGTGATACGGGAGAGTGAAACTTAAAAATTAGGTTAAGCTTCTGAGAGGGTATTTCTGCCTTATATATGGGTTCTGATTTAAAGAGGAAAATTAAAGTTATTGAAAATAAGGATTATTTGATGATAAAATTTCTTTATCTCATTGCTAGAATATTGGGCAAACATCTGTATAGGAAATGATTCTGTGTTTATTCAGTCTTCTGAACAGCTGATACTAGGTTAAAAAAGGAAGATTGATTATGTCTCTGGGGAAAACAAAACAAAAAAATAGACACCTTGACATCTCTGCACAGTCAGAGAAACTCATTGCAACTTGTATCAATTTTAATTCTTCCTCAAATACCATTTAAGTTTTGGAAATGTGTGGTGCATCAGAATTTAATAAGATGATGTGGTTCAGAAATACACACCTTTTCCTTGAATTTTTTCAAGAATCATATTGAAAGGTTCAGCATTAAATAAGATGCACAGAGCAGCTGGCGAACCAGAGGTATCCTATTCAAGGTACAGTCCAGCAGATTAATGCAAACCATACATCTAATTTCATAGATATCAGTGCTGAGCAAAACTTATAGCTCCAAGTCAGATTTTATTATTTCTTCATTATAATATTTCTGTCAAGTAAAGACAGGTTTTTCCTGAACTACTTTAATAGTTTAATGGAAGTTCTGAACTATTTGAAAATAATTTCGGCAGGGGCACTGGCTGATTTATTATGACCATGATTATATTGAATTTTTCTTCAGTGAAGTTTTCCATGATAACTTCAAATACATAGCGCTTACTTTATCTTAATCGTTGAAAGTCATAGAGGTATAAGAGCTTTGGCATAGTGATTCTTGCTTAGGATATTATTCTAGAAGTGTTCAGATGTTCAGCAGAGTAGAATGATATTGCATCTTGCAGTGGTAAGAAATGTAATGTGGGTGGGTGGAAAATAAGTAAGTATAAAATAATCTTTTATCTTCAGACTCAATTTTTGTATATGCAGAAACCCAGCAACTCCAGGTATATTCATTAATGCAAAATAATATGTTCTTTAACAAGAAGTCAGCATCAACTAAATGATATGCCAGGTTTCCTGCTTTGTCTTTAATCTTATATCAGTGTCTGTCTAATGCCAAGTTTCGCACTAGGACTCTGAAGAGGGATAAGTCTGTATACCAATTTATTGACAACTTCCACATTAGTTACTTTAGTTGCTTAAACCTAATATAAACGAGATCATCCCCAAAATCAATATGTTAAGGATGAATATAAAACAAAATGAATAAGTTTTGGCCAGAATTAATAGAAGTTGGAAATGAATGAGTTTGATTTTTTTTTTGTATAAATTAAACAAATCAAACTAGCTGATGTCCTACATCATCTTGCTAAATTTTCTTAGGAGAAATGATGTAATACCTCAAGGATTTCCCTGCTGAGGCTCATATTGTTCTTCTGTTTGTGGGTCTAGTATCCCATTACTTACAAAAACTTATGCCCGCTTTTCAAGTCTCAGTCACTGGGTTGGTTAATTGTGGGAGGTCATACATTATACACATCCTATACCTTTTTGTAGGCAAAAGGATGACTTATGTTGTTGCAAACAGATGTCTCATTTAAGAGTGATTCTATACCCAAGTAAACAATTTAAGAACTTTGAACATTTGTAGACTTACTGCTAAAATAAGTACAATATAATAAATCCATGAATTCTGAACTTTTAAGAAACTAAATTTACTAGTAAATTTATGCTTATGTTAAATTTATGAGGTACATAAGCTGAAGATTCATCTAATCCATAGCTACTTGGATGGAGAGTCACTGCTTTCAGGCTTTGGCAATGAATAGTCGCTTTGGTTATTAAGTGTTTAGTGTCTGCTTACTTTTTGATTGATTTTGGGCTTCAAGGGGCATAATGCTTTCCAGCTTGTGTACAGTAGAAGGATTCAGAGAGAATATAACCAAAAGGCACATTAAGTTTTTCATAGTTTTTGTTCTTGCTCTAATTCTTTCGTTGTATTTTTCAATCTGAAGTTTCATAGGTATGGATCCAGCCCTCGCTCCCCCTCGTTTTCTTCTTTTTTGTTTTTTCTCTTCTACTCTATATTCTGCTCTGAGAATAAATGAACGTCAAGATGGTATTGGATGTGTTCAGCAAAAGACTGCCAACCCAGAAATAAGGGGGGATGATCATACTATTCAGACTGTTGTTCACTGCAGAGTAATTATGAAAGGTTGAACTAGGCTAAAGCATTTCTTTAGTAGGTGAACTTTTTTTCTCTTAAAGCTCAGGGGACTTCCCTAATTTTCACAATAATCCCAGAATGTTTTCTAATTCTAGAACTTTGATTTGTTTCAGATCACAAAGATGTTGCGTGTTTGTGTTTGGGGTTATTTACTAATGTAAATTAAATCAGGAGAACGCTTTCGTGGCCCCTATTGAAATTTTATTGCAATGTGATTTCTGTTAGAAATTACTGATACTACCTACAACACATGGAAATCCTGACGTCTCACAATGCTGTTTTCTGATGCCATAATCAATGCATAACTCTTCCACTTGCTCCTATGTTCTGCTTTCAGAGTTAAAACTGCTTCTTGATTTCTCTCTGGAAGTGGCAAACCACGTTCCAGATTTCTGTGTCTGATATTTCCTTCTGTTGTCACACAGAGATGTCTTCTGGTTTGTTCCACGTTCAATTTTTCTTTTTCCCTTAATCTCTCCTACCTGTTTGGCAAACTCCCCAAGGAAGTGATTAATGATACTTGATTGTTTGTAGTCATCCAAACAAAAGTTGCGTAGCAGATGGATGCAGAAGTATAACTGCTGTTACTCAGCAGAGGTCAACAGAGGGATTTGATTTTATGATGAAGAAGGGAAAAGTATCTGAAAACAATTGTACACAGTCATACGAGTATATCTTCCATATATAAAATTTAGTGTGAAATCTCTAGTGTCTTGCTTTAAGGAAAAGCAGCTGTACAGACAAATCAGTACTCAAATATTCCTTCATTATTATTTTCTGTAGTCATTTAAGCTCTCTCTCAGGTGTAAGTGGACGTTTTCAGACCATAATGTAATACAGATGGTACTTTTTTTTTTCCTTTTCTGTTACACTTGTCGTATAGTTAGCTATTTCTTATTATAGGTAATAAACCTTCCCTACATACTGGCACAATTTCTTTATGCTGACGGTTCATTAAAATGGTACATTACTTTGTTGTTAACCCTTTGATGAAAGCAATAACATTTGTTATAAAATGCAATTCTGAGCACAAAATTCTGGAATCTAGAGATAATCTAAACGTAAGACTCGGATGGACACCACTAAGTGAAAAGACCTGAGATTCCTAGATATGTGACCCTTAACATCCTTTGAAGAAATATTGCTGACCTTTCTTATATATCTCTAATTAGCGGTGGCATTTCCATGCTTTAGTTGCGTTTGGTTATTCTTATATGCTTTGATAGCAACAGATACCTTTTTATTTCCTCAGTTTTCAGACATGTAGACTATTAGTCATTTAAACTTGCCTGAGGACACTGAGCTGTACTGCTTTCTGTTTCTCTCCCTTCTTCCCTCCTGACCACCCTTACCCAGAATCATTTAATATCACTACTTTACCAATGCAGAGTTGTACAACAAAGTGTACCAACCTGGCTAAAACCACTGAACTTTCATAGAGTATGCCTGTGAAAATGGGCTAAAGATAAACCAACAACCTTTGCACAGTTGAAGATGAAGTGTGCTTACATATTTTATCTGACTACCAGTGCAGATGGATGTACTGGTAGTCCCTGATAAAGATGAATAGCCAACAGTAGTTGGCCTGGAGATGGGACTAACTAATCTTGGACTGCTGCAGCCATTTGGGCCAGTTTGAATGCTCCAGTTCACTGAGGACCAAATCTGCAAGGAGCTGCAAACTGGTGGGCCTTTTGGCAGTTTGAGTACTTGAATTATAAATTTCTTAGGTGTGGACTAAGATGTCCAATGTGCTTCATTCGTAGCACAGGAAGACCTCTGCCATTGTTCACTATATAGTCAGTATTGCTAACTGTTTTTATGTAGTGTGTGCTTTTTATTTTTTATCAATTTTATGAACTGGGAAGGAGAAAAAGTATGTAGGCAGAACATACTTAGAAGGCACTGAGCTTACGCTATAGGAGTGCATTTCAGTTCTGTGCAAAGTAGTTATTAGTTCTGCATGACTGGTAGAAAAGGTAGCTCTTTTTAGATGTTACTGTAGAAAAATCTTTCAAAGATGATTACTTTTACAAGCTGAAAAGTATTCTTGACTTTAGATTGCTCAGTCAGATGGTGAATGGAACACTTTAGCCTATGCTTATTTGTTTGATCTTAAGCCTTGCTTTTAATATAAGTTTGTGTTTTGATGATAGATGTATTTCTTGCTGAACTAATTGGCATTTACTTAGTTATTATCTGCTGAAAACTGGCAGAGGTGATGACACTGGCATGAATAGCAGAGGCTAGATCTGCGGAGCTGTCTCTGTCAATGTGTGAAGTTCTGTAGAAGACTTAGTGAACGCTGAGGGACGTTCCACATGCCTGCTGGTGACCGTTTCCTCTCTAGTTTTTAAACTGCTTCGTGATTCCGTGGAGAGGGTGTCAACAAATGGTTTCAAAATAGGAAGAATTGTTGTTTGGTTTAGCTGCAAGTGTTAAAATTTACGTAGAAGGAAGAGTTAAACTTAGTATTTGTACACTGTTGTATATTCGTATAAGGTTTTCTAGGTGTACTGTGTTTCAAGAGAAAATGCCAGGTGTGGTTTGAGATGAGCTTTCTAAGCCAGCTCTGCAGTGAGTTGAATGAATTCTGAACTGCCTCTGGGATCAGTTTCTTTTCCTCTTCTCTGTCCTTCTCTTTTATGGTGTTGTGATAAATGTTGAAATTGCCTCTCTTTCTTAGGATTTTTGCCTGGGCAAAGTTAATATTTTTTGAAAAATAATTAGTTACTTTCTTTTAACAACTGCAGTTCCACAACATAAGCAAGATTTCTCATGTCTGTATTTTTACCACTGGCTTCTCTGCTCATGGTTTTGTTGGTGCTGTATGATTCCTACTTGAAGAGATACCTCCTTTTCTTTGTCAATTAAAAGAAACCTCTTTCCCTAGAATTAGAGTGTAGCTTGACAGGTTTTGAAATTTTAGAAAATAATGAAAACATCATCTCTTGGTAGTCCTGATACATTTCTTTTATGTGATGCAGTAACTCCATTGAGGGGAAGATCCATACAGGATCCTGCAGGATGTTCTCGTTCACATAGTTTAGGTAATTGTTTTATGTGACAGTTGATTGACAGGCACTTGATTCAGACTCTCATATCTTTATGGAGATATATAGACACAATATGTTTAAGTTAATACACTACTATATTTCCTCTCCCCTCCTCTAATATCCGTTCAGTGATAAACTGCAGAGTTGCCTTTTCCCTTTTGTCTAGATGTAGAAATATTTTCACCTATAGTATCCTGCTTCCTGTATGCATCATATAATTCTTTGGATAACAAAAAAATCTGTTGATGCGTCCTTTTATCTTTTTGCATAATACTCTAATGCAAATCCCGCTGTTCTGTAGAAAAAGAAGATAGCAATATGTATAGACGTGTCTTTTAAAAAAAAAAATCTTGTATTCAAAAGCAAATAAAATTCTCTTCTAAATCATGAGCCTTACCGTTGCTGATTTGTGAATCGTAGTACTGAAGGACTGGTGTAACGTGCAGTGTCAGACTCTGTTTCCACTCATTTCAAACTTTTTAATCCTTGCTTCTATATGGCTACAGCAAGACTAGAGGATCTCAGGGTGATGTATTGCTTGGAAGCTTGGGTGGAAGCTGTTGTTTGAGAACTGCCCATGTAGGATAACCATTCTGACAGGGTTTTTTTGTTTTTGTTTTTTAACCCTTGGAATAACTTTTTTCTTACTGGAAAGCAGAGGCTGAGTGTCTATGTTACCCAGATGTGTGTAGTGTTTATTATGACTTTCAAAGTCATAAAGTAGAGGCTTTTTAAACAGGGGCTTCAATATATAGAGTTACTTTAGTGGCTCCTAATCTGCTGCTGAATCACGAAATCTCTATGGTGGATCCTGAGAATACTTTGCAGATCCTGGGTCTGGGCGTGTACTTTGATTGCATCTGCTCTTCCTATCAAGATAGGATCCACAGTTCCCTCTTCTTAGTCTTCCCTTTCCCTGTGCTGTGGTTTCTATGGGAAGGAAACTGGATGAATAGGCTGGAAAAATACACAAAACATTCTGATAAAGACCCTAATCTGAACATTTTGGAGACCTGTAGTGTACATACCATGTAGATTAGTAATAGCCCCAGATTCCTACAGAATTCCGAAACAGTGCATTGGCTTGCACTGTGCCATCGCGTGAGCTGGACACAGAACATCCTAAGTAAAATTTCACCGAAGTGCCATTAGATGAGGCAGCTGAAATAATTTAACACCACATTCTTGGTAAAGTTAGCTTTTCCCTTTTCCCATTGCTGCTCCTGTCTTCTCTCTTGTGTTTGCTCTGATGATCGCCTGCCCTCTTCTTGTGCTGATTCGGTCCTGGAAACTGGCACAAAGCTATTTGCTTTGAGTAACTTGCTTAGGGAACATACGAACACCAAGGAGGTGAGGAGAAGGTGGCAGTAAGCTGCGATGTTCTTCTGCTCTTTTCTTCTAACTGCACCTAATATCACTGGCTGAACCTGGATATCTCATGTGAGAAATTCTGTGTTCTCTTCTCCCTGCTCCCACCTCCTAGCAAAAGAATAGGGATACATTTTTAGATTTCCTTATAGTTTCAAATATAGAAAAATATAATTTGAGCAAAATAAAACATTTTGTTTTAATCCCCGCCTGGATGCGATCCTGTGCAATGTGCTCTCGGTGACCCTGCTTGAGCAGGGGGGTTGGACTAGATGATCTCCAGAGGTCCCTTCCAACCTCAGCCTTTCTGTGATTCTGTGAAACAAATATGAATAGTTAATTTTTAATTACCTTTATAAAACTCCCGATTTGTATTTTACTAAAAAAATTGAACCACTTGAAAAAGCAGAACTGAATATGCAACTCCAAAAAAACCCACCTTGAAATAGAAATTATTCACCTTTATATAGAACGTATATGGAGAGATTGCTAGATAATTTAACACTTAAAGCAATTGTTAGTTATATACACACACAGGTGAGCATATTCTCTTAAACTGTTCAGTTTTGCAGCTGGCTCCTAGAAGCTGGCCTGACTAGGGTTAATAAATGGAGGTTATTGCAGCCCGTTTAAATAATAAAATCAGAACAAAGCAAAGCATGCTTTGAGATAATCGGGTAATTAAAGGGTTACGTTTATTCTACCGGGATGTCTCAACTGTTAGTGGTTTATTCATATGTGTTCCTTAGATATGTGATTTTCTAAGGGGTGTCGTTTTGATACAAGTGACAGAGGGAAGGCGGGACGTTCAAGGAGTCTTCGCTCCTTTATAGGGAGGGGAAAAAAATACAAAGCAAGAAAGCCTTTTCATGTTTTGAAAGTTCATCTGTAAATCCATGCTTCCTGCTTACGTGTTACTTGAATGTATGGATGCACAGTAGGAATGAGGTCAGAAGAGCAGAAAGTAAAATGTTTGTCAGGTCCTTCTGAAGGCCTGACAGCGTTTGCAGATTCTCTTCCATTTATTGTGACACTGTTAGTACAAATGTAACATTATTCTTGTGTCAGCATCGCAAATAACGTCTATCACAGTAGGTGAAAATTTGTTGAAAAATTAAGGTGCTGTAAAAATAGACCTCCACCACAGCTTTGTGGGGTAGAAGGTTCCTTGATGTCTTATTCCAAATATTTCCTCAAACCCTTGAATTTGTTTGATTTTTATTTTTATTTTTCCTGATAACTGCTATGCTGTTGTAGTAGAATAACTACAGATTTCCATTTCTTTTCTGGTTTCAAAATCTTTTTAAACTTTGCAGAACATTGTACATCCATGGTCATACGAAGTTGGATTTCATGGTCTGGTATACCGCAATTGAAAAAGCAGCAGGTACAGATGGTAATGCATTACAAGATCAGCAGCTCAGCAAAAATGATGTTCCTATTATAGTAAACAGCTGTATAGCATTTGTTACACAGTATGGTAAGTATAGCAGATTTTTATTCAACTTGGGACCATTTGTATAATACCGAAGCTGCCGCACGATCAAATCTCATTGCATGTGTTTATGTATACATAAAGTAAAACCATGTCCCTCGTTAACCCTGCCACTCGTTGATGGAATAGCAAAGTATAATGCAATGCATCTGAGAATGAGTAGTTTGGGGAGATGCAGCTCCCTTTGTATTTTTAAATTTCACTTTTGTGCCTGATGTAGCTCAGCCTTTAGGTCCAGTGCCTCAGAGCAGAACATCTCTGCCCAGAAAATAAACTATGTAAACCAGGAAAGGTTATGGCCTAGACTGGTCAGCATATCTTCTGGAGAAACTGTTGTAAACTGTGCTGCCTGTGTTGAGTCTTAAGGCTGTTTCTATTTCAGCATAATGGCCTAAGGAAGTATAATTGTTTACTGTTTGCTTACGTAATTATTGCCAGCATAATTTTCCATAGCATTAGAACATGTATAGATGATGTGTTTGTCCTTTGTACTCCTGAGAATTAATCAATCCTCTTGACAAACGCTGCATACATATCAACCCTGTACAAATTGTATTTCATGCACTGAAATGTTGCTAAAGCAGGGTAATTATGTTCCCCACTCAACTCTCACTAGATGTGTTTTTAAGTTAAAATTCAAGTTTCTAATGTCTTTTAAATAAATTAAATCTTCATTTAAATACTTCTTCTATCTTACTGCGTGTAATAATGTTCATTTGAAAGTTGAAGGAGTTAGGCAGGAATGAATTATTGTTTGTATGAGGAATTATTATTTGCATACAGTGCTCTAGGTTCGTACCTGTTTTTGTTTTTCATCATGAAGATTCTACCTTTAGCTGTGGCCTGTAAGTGAGAGACCCTGTTGGGTCGCACTCCTGTTCCTCAGTACAACACCACAAAGGCAGTATCAAATGGGAGCTCTTGTAGGCATCACAGCAAAGGGGAGCTGGAAGAAGAGTGTAAGATACAATTTGCATAGGTTTTGGCAGAACTCTTCATTTGACTAGCATGTAAGGAAAGTAGGGTTTGTAGGAAGTGTGATTCCCTTTTTCTGAAGTGAAATAGGGAAGGCAGGAAGCACCTCTACAAAAAGAAACGATGAAACTGCACATCTATGCCAAGCTTTCACAAGTCCTAAAAAAAAAAAAAAATGTTTCTGTCTACTTTCAGATTCAGTAATTGAAATAGTGTTAACTCTGTTTTAGACTGAGTTTTAAGCTGTGTTTGGACTTTAGGGGTTTTAATCTTTACGTACGGGAACAGTGGCTCATTGTGGCTGTCTGGTGGCTTCCTGAACCTGATAAAAAGCAGAAAAAATGAAGTAGTCCTATTAATCTTGAGGCTTTTAAGAGTGAAATATGTCAGATAGAATGAATACAATAATATTGAGTCCCAAATCGAGCTGATCAGTAGAGGAAGAGAAGTGTAGGAGTATTGGTTGTGAAAGCAGTCATCTTGTGTGCATAGAGACAATACCAGTGATCAAAACTTCTTTCTTTTACTGCACTTTTTAAAACTATGATTATGGAAAGTCCTAAAGAGATTTAGAGATTTGAATTTGCCTGCAAAGTATTCCTAAAATTACAACCCTAGGCTTGCTTAACATTACAGTAGGTATATTTGCAAAGAGGTTTGGTGGTGGGTGTAAGCAGGCTTATCAGTGTTTTTTCTCTCACAAGGTGAGGACGTGCAAAAGGTCAGAGTTACAGTGGTAGGAGTCACAATCTATTTGACAGCCAGACGTGCTTTTTGTAGGATGCAGTTTCAAATTTTTGAAAGAACCCATGATTTTATTTTTATTTGTTTTCCTCTTCTCATATATTCCTGTAATTTAGGTCTAGGTAGCAAAGAGATCTATCTCAAGAGTGGCAATTCTTCCAAAGTGGCTGAACTGCTAGAAAGCTTCAAAAAAGATGCAAGAAGTGTTAAACTAAGAGCTGGAAAACATCAGCTTGAAGATGTGACTGATGTACTGAAAAATTTTCTTTCTCAAATAGATGATGCACTTCTCACTAAAGAACTCTATCCATTCTGGATCTCTGCGTTAGGTAATATATTCAGTGACTCTAGATACAAAGAAGGTCATATGCACATTTTCAGCATCAAGTTTAAGGATTTTGTTTATTGCTTGCCCTATGTAGGCATATATTAGAGGTTTTGATAATCAAGAAAATAATTATGCATGCATTAATGGGAAAAAATTGCTTAAAGAGATTGACTGGAGTAGATCCGTGTGTCAAAATTCTATTGCCTTTAAGTGAACCAGAATAATAATGAGAAATAATGATGTTTGCTTGAAAATATATCTGTGAACAGTAGAGCAATATTTCATTGTGTTGTAGTTGTATCAGACAAAGTGGGGGTGATCAATTTTTCATGGAAGTATTGATGGTAGAAATCAAGAAACAGACAAATATTTGCCAAGTCATCATCTGCATGATAGCTAGGTCACAGCTTTGACATTTGTGTTCCTTAAATTTATCTTTTATATAACTTTATATGTGCATGTTTGTATATTAACAGTATAGACATACTAACAATGTAGATTTATTAACAATACTTCTTAACAGTATAGAATTATTAATAACTTAAGGAAACTATTGTTTCCTTAAAAATAGGAATTTAATTTGAAAGAACACTTTAGTAGCTTCGACCTAAAGTGTAACTTGTGATGTGTTTGTAACATGAGGATGTGCATCTTTAAATGGTTGAGAACAGACTCAAGAGCTTACTGACATGTTAGTTACTCATTACATAAATCATGATGATTTTTATAGTATATTTATGTTTTAGTATATTTATATTTATGTTTTTATATTGCACTATTTACATAGTGCCAGAAACAAAAGCTCCTTCCCTCCCAAACCACATGTGCTGTGAAATTGCAGATGATGGTCCAGTGTTTAGGTTGCTGGCCTGTGTCATGGGAATGGTATTTTTCTCTTTGATTTCTCATGCAATACCATGCAGTTCCTGACTTGCTCTCTATTTTAACTTCCCTATATGAAATGGAGGCCTCACGTAGATGATATGAGGATAAGTACCTTACAGGGGATGAGGTGCATACGTAGCATAGTAATAGGAGATGCATAGGAAAAACCAAGATAGAGCATTAAATTATATATTAGCACACTAAAATAGTATAGGCCTATTGACCATATGGCTAACTTTATCTGTAGAAAGGATGGTTAAAATGATATTTTTCTTTGATTTTACTTAAGTTAAAACAGATACAGATTGCTTTAATACAAGCCACTATAAGTTTGGGAAATTGAAGTGTGACTATTACACACTTTTGATCTTTCACCTCAGTTTGAGCATACTGGAGGGAAGAATATTAAAAATGTGTTTACTCATCACAAGATTGCTCTCATCTCATCAGGAATCAGAAAAAGTTGTATCTCTAACAGTTTAGATTTAAATTAGCTCTTTTGTGAACGTGCATAATGATATCCTACTGATTTAACTTCCTGATTTGTGTGTGGGACTAAAATTCTGCTTCAGCTTTAAAGCACATAATCCTGTTGCACTGTAGATAAATGACACCAAAAGTACTTGTGGGAAGACTAAAACACTTAGATAGATGCCCTAGAGGAAAAAAAATTTAGACAGTCAAAGACCCGAAGAAAGTGCTTTTTTGTTGTTGTTGTGTTGTTTTGTTTCAATTACCCAAGAAATCAAAACATAGTGCATTCAGTAGTGAGAGCGCTAGCGGTCCCCTGAAAAGGATAAGAGTTTTTTTCCTGTGGTTTTCATTTTAAGAAATTTGAGGCAAATAGAGTACTGAAATGAAAAATTTAGGAAAAAAATCAGTTACTGTGCGCCTGCCCTGAGCAGGGTTATGCTCTGCAGTCTCTACACAACAGTCTCTATGCAGCATAGAGAGGCAAGCTTGATTTAAGGGTAAAGCGCTGTGACAGTGTCTCAGGTACTATCATTCTCAAGACTGTAACTGCTGTCATTGTGTCTGCTGCTGTTCAGCTGCGTTACTTTGTACAACTTACTGCTTCTCTTTCGCTCAGCTCTTACTCGTCTTGTATGTTTAGAACTTCCAACTACTTTAGACCTTGCTACACTACTCTAATAAAAATAGAAAGATGAAAGGGTATTGTCCTTTCTCAACTCTGGGAACTCTTAGAAGCATTTCCACACACACAGACACAGACACATAGACACACACACACACTACATGTGAAAATGTCCTTTGAGTGGAAAAGTAATTGTTTTCCTGGGATTTAGTCTTAAACTACAGCAAATAGTGCTTGAATATAGAAATGTTACTCTTTATTGGATGTTCTTTCCCTGAACTAGTGTATAATAATAGACTTTGTTGATAATAGATTGTCTGTATTGTCTTCATAAAGAATGGATTGATTGGGTAAACTGTAATTTTAAATGACTAGATGTTGCTTATGTAGTTAATGAGAACTGCTGTCGGTTTTCAATGTACACTGTTACTAATGCTCAATGATTATTATTTTCCACCAGACGCACAGGATGAAAAGGAACGTGTGAGGAAGTATGGAGCTTTTATTCGGACACTTCCATCGGTCAATAGAGCAACTTTGGCTGCTTTAATTGAACACCTTTACAGGTCAATGCAAATAATGCATTATAGCAGAGAAATGCTTATAGTTTGGTCTCAGTATTAATCTAGCAGTAAGGAGTTCTGGATTGTTTTATCAACTAGTAAGCATCTAACCTTAAATAGTTACCATGATTAATTAGAATAGCTCCTAGGCAATCCTTCCTTTAATTTATAATGTTTTTTTTCTTCAGTTGAATTTTCAGCAGTAGGCATCTATAAATATCGATTGGATGGAGCAGTGGGAGAGGGCTGCCAGTGTCTGTGTCCAAGTAGGGTAATTTTTGATGGAGCATCTTTATATGAGCTCATTTACTGCAGTCTGCTAGTCTTCCAAAGCACTGTTGCAAGTGACACCTCAGATTAAAAGAATTTTCAAAATAAATGTCCTTCTCTATAAACTGTTTTGCATCAGATGACTTTGAGAATTCCTGTATTTCATCACTGCTTCATTTTGCAGTGGTAGAGGTGGAGTGCAGAGGTAGCTGTGGAGAATATCCAAAATATAGACTGGAAC